TCTACTCGAGAAGAAGCCAACTAAAGAGAAGTCTACTCGAGAAGAAGTCTACTCGAGAAGAAGTCTACTCGGGAAAAGTCTACTCGAGAAAAAGTCTACTCGAGAGAAGTCTACTCGAGAAGAAGTCTACTCGAGAGAAGTCTACTCGAGAAGAACTCTACTCGAGAAGAAGTCTACTCGAGAAGAAGTCTACTCGAGAAGAAGTCTACTTGAGAGAAAGACTACTCGAGAGAAAGACTAACCGTATATGCGAGCCATTGATGTGGCGTCCTCAGCAGCCACCACCAGTGGTTTACTAGGTACTTCTTAGCATGTCTACTCGGCCAATTTCTGCAGACAACATTAGTACATAATCATCAGACTTTAATTAGTACACAATCACAAGACTCACAACTTGTTTTATACAGAGAACTTACGGAAGACGTTTGAAAAACTCAGTTACAGCTTTATTCTTCGCTGCATCAATGGGAGCAAAAGGATCATATCCAGTGCCTAGTCTAGACAACCTCCTTGTCTTCTCGGAGGTCTTGGCTCGTGACAAAATTTGTGCCGCGACCTTCTTTGACTGTTGTTTCCTTTACTGCACCTCCAAATCCTCTTTCGTTTGTTTCCGCGACTCGACAAATACGACACTATCCACGTCCTCGCGGTTGACACTCTCACATGGTTTTTTCTGAAATAATGCATTATACATGTTACTGAGAAGAACAACATGACAAAATAAACGGTTTTATTTATTGGAATTCATTAAAGTAAACGAAACATAAGTCATATTACAGGGTACATGTACAAATTTTTGAAAACATACAAAAATAGAAAAACATCTAGTTCTTTTTGGAAGACCTCGCTCTTGCCCTAGTAAGCCTAAGAACTGGACTCAACGAAAGAATAGCAGGCTTAGCAATCTTAGAAATCTTAGAAGTCTTTTTAGTAGATTTGAGAGAGGGATCGGTACTAACCCAGCCATCGTTTGACTTGACATGCTCCTCATCCTTTGGTTCTTTCATCTTGGCAACAGTATGCTCCACGGCGACAACCTTTTCAGAGAGGAGGTCCAACTTCTTAACGAAGGCCTCAAACCCAGCCTTTATTTCCCCAGACAATGTTCTGCAACATTCTGAGAAATGTTGCTTCATCGCCTCAGCAAGACTCTTCAAACCCTCCTCTTCTATGGCAGCAGGAGGCACTGGACAAGTCTTCTTCATGCTCCCATCGTCTGGGTCAACACGGCTTTCATCATCTTTAATTTTCCTTTTTTGGCCCTTTGTGGCCTCTAACTTCTTAACCCCTTTGGACCGCCAATGACTAGGCTTCCACTTCCAACCACCACCACCAAACTCCCCAAACATGGCTCCCACAACGTTCTCGATAAGGACATCGTCTACCTCATCATCCCAGGTAGGGAACATTTCCTCCCGTTCCTTGACACAAAATTTGTTGAAGCTAACCTGCAAACAATTGGAATATATATGTTACAAAGGTATACGCAAAGAATTATACTCGAGAGAAGTCTACTCGAGACGAGGAGAAGTCTACTCGAGACGAGGAGAAGTCTACTCGAGACGAGGAGAAGTCTACTCGAGACGAGGAGAAGTCTACTCGAGAAGCAAATATAGTTTAGGATTACCTGTTTCAACATAGCTTCTTTGATGTATTTTCGTCCTCGGCAACCGTTGAAAGCCAGCACCGGTGGAGTTGGGTTGTCGGGAAGAGGATTTCCGTAATGCCTCCCAAAATCTGGCATAGCATAATACGCCCAAACTTGGAGCACTTCGGCAAACCCATAGAGAGTGACAGTCTTCGTCAAATCAGCTCTTTTGACAGACTCTATGAGGGTCTTGAAAGCCACTCTTTCCCACGGGTAATTTGCAAATGCCTCGACATCCATAACTAGCCTGGCATGGTTCAACCGTGTGGGTGAATCTATCTTCCTTGCCTCGATAAATCCAGCGAAGATGGATAAATATCCTAGCATAAGCTTCTCATCCCTTGTCCACTCCCCAGCACGCTTACATGCTTCAGTAAGTTCATCAACGGTGGGGCCAACATCTATACTAACGCCAAGCTTCTCCCAGAAACATTTCATCTCAGGAGTAACTTCTGCTTCCTCCAGTTCCTCAACATCCTCGCAGTTGAGACCGATGAGTTGTTCAAACTCATTGAGTGAAAACCGAAGTGGGGTTGCATTTATGAGACTCCATATCTCATACTTCTTCTTGCAGTCCAGCTGAAAACCGAGTATAAACTGCACCACCCTCGATGCCCAGCCAAAATTCAGTTTGTAAAACTTTAGAAAAACACCAAGCCTTGATTCCAAAAACTCTTCCCATATATCTGCTTCCAGTACTGCTTCCAATGCAGGAAACAACTTCCTACTGTTGCTGTAGTAGGCTATACTTTTCCCAGGTTGGGGCTCCTCGTCCTTTGTGAATAATCTCCTTGGAAACTTGGGCTGCTTCTCCATCCTGCAAAACAAAAGATGACATAAATATGTAAGAAATATATAATTATTAGCAAATGGCAGAAGTCTAGTTCAGAAAGAAGTCTACTTTTCTCTGAGAAGTCTACTCGCGAAAAAGTCTACTCGAGAAGAAGTCTACTCGAAAGAGAAGTCTACCCGAGAAGAAGTTTACTTAGAGAAGTCTACTCGAAAGAGAAGTCTACTCGAGAAGAAGTCTACTCGAAAGAGAAGTCTACTCGAAAGCGAAGTCTACTCTAGAGAAGTCTACTTATACAAATTCTAAAATAAATCACTAGTTACATAAATTACCTTTGCAAACACTGAAATCCGGCGGAGACAACCAACAGCGTCGTCGACATCTGTAAATCCAAACAAAAAATTTCCAAATTAGCGGCGGCGATGATATCTATGGCAAAAAATTGAATCTAACAGATGCCGGACAAAGAGAAATGAGGACAGAATTACCAGCTGTAACAAGGCGACAAGGCAACAGAGGCGGCGATGAAAAGAGATGAACGAAATCGATTAAGGTCTATATACAGATAAAGAGATATACAGAAGTGAGAGATCTGAGAGAGGAGAACAGAGATTACCTTCGTTGACAATTTACAAACGGTGGTGATGAGTTGAAGCAGCGGCGGCGACGACGGTATGAACGGCGACAGAAATAGCGAAAGAAATCGCCCAAACGCTGGTTACGAGTCGAGAGAAACTAGAGTTTGTGGAATGGGATACTTTCTGCTAAAAATGAATATATAGGCCGGTTAAAAATGGGTTAGTAATATTATTCGGTTCAGTGATTGTTTTTATTTTACTCGGACATAACCGGTCAAAGAAGTCTACTTTTGATTCTAATTCGGTAAGAGAAGTCTACTAGATAGAAGTCTACTTTGGTCCGAGACGTCTACTCGAGAGAAGTCTACTTCGATCCGAGAAGTCTACTTAACCTTAAACCCTAAATCAATTTTTTTAATTAAAAATTATATGAAAACATTAATTACTTACCATATTGACAAGTCATAGTTAAAATAACAAATATATGAACCATGATTCATTAACTGAACCATAAACTATGATTCATATAGAATTTGTGCAAACCCTAAGAATTACACTCTTATACCCTAAACCCTAAACCTCAACCCTAACCCTTTTGATTTGTATACTTATGAAACTTATAAATTGATTCATTTTCATGATTTTTTTTTTATACAAATGCTAAATGTATCTTTTTAATTGTGTATATAATGTTTTTACCAAATTATTTTTCATAATTTTTAAAATTAGTGGTAAAGAAATTATAAGAAAGTAAACTTCTCCAAGAAGTCTACTCCTGAGAAGTCTACTTTAGAATCCGAGAAGTCTACTTAGTATTGATTTCTAACCTAATTTATCTATGATTATTTAAATTAATTATTTTGTGTCAAATTTTATTTTTAATAGGTGTAAAAATTATATGTTTTTGTTATTTGATATTTTTTTTACCAAATTATTTTTCATAATTTTTTTAATTAATGGTAAATACATTATTCGAGAGTAGACTTCTCGACTTCTCAGAGAAGTCTACTCGAGCTCGAGTAGACTTCTCGGAGATAAAATAGTCATTGCGACGAGCGTTTTTTGTTTGGTCAGAAGAGATAATATTGTAATTTCACTACCCCGTAAGTTATTTTTGTCAAACATGCAATAAGGAATCTAGTTTTGCAATTCAAATCAAATTTTGAGTCATATTCAGCAATTTTCCCTTTATTATAAGATTTTTTAAAAAGTAATAAGAGAAGTTGAAATAGACAAAAAAGAAGTTAAAATAGACAATATAGTACATATAGTAGTATCATGAACTTTCGAGTACATATAGAGTACATAATTTTTTTAATTTATACACAAACTAGAGAGTACTGTGCTAATTCATACTTCAACAACGTTGTATTTTACGTAGTATTCGAATCAACAAAATCTGATAGTTAAATTTACATCGTTAAAAGAAAATATAAATTAACCGAATTTAATAAATTTGGATATGAAGTAAACTAAATATGTCCGTTAAAGTATGAATTAGCACATCACTTAAATTTGTGTGTAAACCAGCATTTTTCATTGTATGAAAAAAGCCGAAAGTATGTTATACCGTAGAATCTGAAATCCCTTGTACAGTACATATATTTTGAGTCTTTCTTAAAACACAGATTTAACACTTGTTAATCACGCACTAAAAGTTAATTATTAAATTCCCTAAATCTTATCTTAAATGTTAATTATTATTGTATTACCTAAATCCCCTAAGAGTGAATTATTCTTGTATTACCTTAAATGTTAAAATCTAGTAGTAGTAATCTACTACAACTAGATTTCATCGTCCAAAATTTCTGAAAAACCAGAATTTGTGTATCATCAAAAGTCTTGCGTAGGGTCATCGAAATTCGAAAAAGGCAAATTTGTCTTTGTTGTCTTTATCCTCTCTCCTCTGTGACTCTCCCTCTCTCTCTCCTCTCTCTCTCACTCACTCTCTCCTCTCAAGGTTGCGTCACAGTAGTAGTAGTGAATGGCTCTTCTTCTCTATTGTTGCTTCTTTACCGCTCTTTCTCTTGCTCATGGAGCTTCAACTATTCGCATTGCTCCTACTCAGCCTCCTACAGGTTTGTGTCTCTTTCTTACTTTATTTCTCTTACTTTACTGCAATTTCTTCTATGTACTTGTTTCTCGAGAAAGTTTTCTCTTGTCCGGGGAAAGAAAGAGGAATAAACTTTTTGATTTTCTCTTCTTCTACATTTTCTGTTTGTCTTTCCATTGAAATGCCACAACTCCACTTTGCTCACTCCCCAAAAAATCCAAACTTTGCCGAATCCTTCACAGAATTTCAACTAATTCACAAATGGGTTAGGCATATAATCTGCAAAAAGTTTAAATTTTTCTCTGCAGATTCTAAACTTATCTATGCAATTCTAGGGTTGACAAAGTTTCAGACTTTTCTACAAATTTTCCTGTTTTTCTTCGCTTAATTCCAATCTGATTATCTGTTTCAGGTTCCGAGAAAACCCGTTTTGGAAATTCGACAATGAAATTTATAGTGGCAGAAGCGCCATTAAACGCACCTTTTTACAATAACCCTCAAGTGATTGAAGATGCTTCAGTGGCTTTAGCTGCTCAAAGAACATTCAGAAAAGATCCCCTCAATGGTTTCGAGAAATATACTGGAGGATGGAACATCAGTAACCAACATTACTGGGCTGTAAGATACTTCTACTTCAGTTGGCTTCTTCTTATGTTCATATTTTAGATGTTCTTGTGATTTAGATATGTCTTTGTGTTTTGAAAATTTGCAGTCTGTGGGCTATACAGCTGCTCCACTCTTTGCTGTTGCTGGTGTCTGGTTTTTGGGGTTTGGCATTTGTTTATTGGTTATATGTATCTGTCACATTTGCCATAGAAGCAAATCTATTGGATACTCAAGAGTTGCTTATGTTGTTTCCCTTATCTTCCTCCTCCTCTTCACTCTTATGGCAATGTGAGTTAAAAGAGAAAGAAAACAACACTTTGTTCAATCCACATTTGAAAGAAGTTATGGTTTGCTTAGCATTTTGAATTGTTTCTTATTGCAGAATCGGATGTTTTATGCTATACTCGGGTCAGGTAAGGTACAACAAAAGCACTACAGAGACATTAGCTTATGTCATGAGCCAAGCCGATAGCACGGTTTCACAGCTTAGAGCTATTTCGGATTATCTTGCTTCAGCAAAGCAGACTAGAGTTCTTCAGGTCACTTTACCTGAAAATGTCGAAACTGAAATCGATCAGATCGGAGCGAAACTGGATTCTTCTGTAGCGACCATCACTGAGAAAGCCACTAATAGCTCCAATAGCATTAGACATTTCCTTGATCCAGTGTAAAAACAACTCCAAACATTCTATCTGTTAGTAGAAAACACAGTTTTGGATTTTGAAACACAATGTTTAACGGTCATTTGTTGTTATTGCAGGAAGGTGGCTCTTATTGTAGTTTCAATCGTCATGCTTGTCGTGACATTTCTTGGTCTCGGTAAGTCACAAATCTGAACCTTTTGTAATGTTTTCAACTTTGAAAGATAAAGCTTCTGTATGAATATCCTGCAAGTTCAACATCTTTCACTACATGTTTCAGCTAATGTGTTCATTATCTTCTATTGCAGTTTCTTCAATCTTTGGGATGCAGGTCATCGTTTACACGTGAGTAAAAACTCTTTAAATTGTGTTTCATGCGACTTTTCATGAGTAAAAGCTATCTGAAGTATCTTCCTCTTGTGCAGTCTTGTGATTCTTGGATGGATTTTGGTGACTGGTACATTCATCTTGAGCGGAACATTCCTTCTGCTACACAAGTACGTCTCAAGATTCTCCATTAACTTCTTCTTTGTTAGTTCAAAAACCTTACTGTGTTTGTTTGAGCATCAGTGCAACTGCAGACACATGTGTAGCAATGGGTGAATGGGTAGAGAGACCAGCAAGCAACACGGCTCTTGACGAGATCTTGCCTTGTACAGACAATGCCACAGCTCAGGAAACTTTGATGCGTAGCAGAGAGGTGACAGGTCAGCTCGTGGAACTCATCAACACAGTCATCACTAATGTCTCCAACATCAACTTCTCTCCAGTCTTTGTCCCAATGTACTACAACCAATCTGGACCGTTGCTTCCATTGCTCTGCAATCCTTATAACCATGACCTCACCGATCGTCCTTGCTCGCCTGGTGAGCTCGATTTGAACAATGCTACTCAAGTAAGCCCCTCTGTGTAATTCTTCTACCATTCCTCTACTGTTGAGACTGTTTCTAGTAACACTGTACTTATGCCACAACACTTAACAGGCATGGGGCACTTTTGTGTGCCAAGTAAACCCAAACGGGACTTGCTTAACGACAGGGAGGCTCACGCCTGCGCTGTACGGTCAGATGGCATCATGTGTGAACATCAGCACAGGGTTGATCAGAGACGCGCCATTTCTCGTTCAGCTCCAGGACTGTTCATATGCAAAGCAGACCTTTAGAGACATAACCAATGACCATTGTCCAGGACTCAGGCGTTATGGCTATTGGGTCTATGTTGGTCTGGCCATATTGGCTACGGCTGTGATGCTCTCACTTCTGTTCTGGATCATCTACAGTAGAGAGAGACAGCACCGGAAGCAAGCACTACCGGAATTTGCAGAAACTAAGGAGATTGTAAGAGTTAGCTTTTGATGTATCTCTTGTTTCTATGTATAAGTCTCAAGACACTTGATTTGTGCTTCCATGTATGAATGTGAGAAAAAAATGCAAAAATTAGATATCAGTCAATGGAGAAGGGTCTTGTGCTTTTCTTATTACAGAAGGTTGTAAACACAATACCTTTGGTTTTCTAAGGTTCTTTGCATTGGTAAATGCTTTTAGATTATACTTTTCAACTCTTGAAAGACCTTGAAACCGAAAATGCAGAAACCGAATGATAATTTTGTCATACAAAGTTTTCGACTTTCTTTAGTTCAATTTTCCAACCTGGCTGCAGCAGATGCATAGCTAACACTGCTGTCTCGCCTTGTCTGGCACTGGCTTGACTGCTCGTACCGCAGGAAATTGATCTTGATCTTGCTTGAGCAATGTTTTAGCATCTGAAAAGTAATCGCAAACATAAAACAGAAACGGTTAAGTTTCAAGAGTGCCACTAGATTCACCTTCGTTATCCATATCCATCATACTAATTGGATCTAAAGCAAAGCATCGAGAGGCTTCACGCTTACATGGAGAAAGATACTAATCGGATGGCGACCACAAATGGTGTTATCAAACTCAAGAAGGTACTTCTTGAAGGCATCTGGATCTCCTGTCTCTATTGTATCCATTCCCATCTTGTCTAGTGCCTCAATAGATTTGTGTATTGGACCATGATTGTGGTCATAATGCATGTAATTGAACCTAAATACAGAAACATATGAACAAGATCATAACAGAGGCAATTAGCTCAATAGACGCAGCTAGGCAAGGGCCTCGGAATATATAGTTATGCTAAAGAGGAAAATAGAGCGTTTCTCAAGCCAAAGTCTCATCAGAATGAGAGAACAGAGAAGAAGTGAGCTAAGACAACAAACCTCGAGCCCCAGTGGCAAAAGTCAGAGGACACTGAGAAAAAATTCTTGGGATCATCAACATATTTGGCTAGCAATTCACCGTACATGGCTTCGTTTTCTGCACTTGCTGATCCAACCAAGATGGGTACAACTTTCACATCGTGCCTATTCAAATAATTGGAATGGACAAGTCTCAGCAAAATATTAGAATGCTATTTTGAAGTTGTTCAGAGCCTTCTGTGATTACCCTTCAAATACTTTAGCCAAATACGGCAAGTGCATTTCCATGCTGTGCTCAGCTTCATCGACCCGGAGATCCATCATTCCAAATTTCCCCATAGCTCTTATCTCCTTAATCACTGGTGGTGAATATGACAGAAAACCAAAAGAGAAGATCTTTCCTCATTCATCAAGTGAAAAAATCTATCTTTGGCAAGAGAAGCCTAGCTAAACTTACTCTCCACATCAACAGGTAGATCTCCTATAGGGGTTTTGTAAACTGTTGCAGTCGAAAGGGCACATTTTGGAGTATAATAATGGTGAGATGGACCGAGAAGAAATATCCGAGATCTGAAATGAGGAAGAATCATAGCGAATCCTAACTCATGAACACTCAACCAAACACAACACGGCTAACGAAAGAGAATCGAACGAGACAAGATAATCAAGCTTACTTACATGTTAGTGGGATCAATGTTAGCAAAGGCATAAGCAGCTGCACGACCAGAGTACGAATAACCTGCGTGTCTGAATTCATTATGAAGTTAGGAGTAAGTGTTAATCACTTGTTGGTGTTAAAATTTAGAGAAGCGAAAGCAACTTACGGCGCAATGACGCCTCGTACATCAGGAGATTTGGTCAAACCAGTTGCTCTAAGCCATTCTTCAAGATCCGTTGACAACTTTGTAGCTAAAAAAGGAAACAGCTTTTACGGTTCGTAATCAAATCTTTCAAGTAGACAATTCTAGAGTGATTAGAAGAAAAAAAGTGTCAAAGCTTAAAGCTTTTGTTTCCCAAACAATATCAAAGCTTTAAACCCAGATACTCAAAATCAGATCAGATTATGCCATTTAGCAAACGAATTTTCAGCAACCAAAATATCAAAAAATCTTAACTTTAAAATTTAGTGATCAACAAACGAAGGATCAACACAAAGGACTTATCAATATGTTGTATTATGTACTTGCATGTGGAACGAAATAAGAGTGTGTCGATCAGAATGACTTTATTCAGTCAAAAGCTTAATGCTTTTGTTTCCCAAATAATATCAAAGCTTTGAACCCAGATACTCAAAATCAGATCAGATTATGCCATTTAGCAAACGAATTTCAGTAACCAAAATATCAAAAATCTTAACTTTTAAAATTAGTTAATAACAAACGAAGGATCAAAACCTTAATCAGTCAAAAGCTTCCCAAACAACGTCAAATCCTAAACCCAGATACTCAAAATCAGATCAAGTAACCATAAAAATCAAAATCTTAACTTTTAAAAGTCAAAGCTTAATGCTTTTGTTTTCCAAACAACTTCACTAATTTTCAAGAGGAATCAATTCGTTAAACCCAGACACTAAACATCAGATCAAATTAAAATCAAAACCTCAACTTCATCAGTGATCAAGAAACGAAGAACTTATATAAAAAAGATTAACCTGAATTTAAACATTTTCTAACACCTAATTCTCTGTTCCAAAAGAAGATAATTGAGCATGCAAGAATGAAAATTTGTAGGAAGTGAGAAAAGTAAGAACTCACGATTATCGGTATACCAAGAGCCTGCGTGCGACGCTTGCCTCACTTTCTCCATTCTCGTAAAAGTGATTGAAGAATCGTGATCGCAGAATAAGAAACCCTAAATTTCTATGTATGAATTTCAGAGCCCCTGTTATACTAGCGAAGATTCTGGACAAAGATCGAATATGATCTTAAGTGTTTGAAAATAATTTTATTACCCCTCTCTTAATCTTAATGCCCTCTACTCATTCTTCTCTCTATTTTACCATCATCCTTATCGAATAAAAGAAAAACAAATCCATAATATTTTAATTTAATTCTCAACTACCTACGGGTCCTACATCTTAATCTTCTTCATGGTCCCTTTCACTAGTTAGCGGATTCTTCATTCATCATGATTCCCAAAACCCAACATTCTCCATTTTGAAGCTATATGAGAACTTTATAAGGTGAGTCTTTTGCCATATTATCTCCTTTACATACGCTATAAATCTTAGAATAATAGGGAGTGCTACACATTATTGCTCTTGGTCTTCCAATAGCGTCATTGTTCTGAATTTTTTGTGGATAAATAAATAATTGAAATTCTTTGCTAAGAGTTGTAGGTTGGTAAATAGGAGCAGTTATAATCGTCAAATGAACATCAAATCATCCCGATTCGTAGTAAATCGTTGGAGATTCGTAGATAAATAGAAATTTTTTGGGTACACGAACAGAGTACTACTGGACCAACTGGTATTACTAAGACATCAGGTATTACTGAGAGCAACTGGTATTACTGAGCATTGTTTAGAAATAGGAACAACTGGGTACAACTGGACTAGTATTACTGCTTGTATTAGTGAGAGAAATGATATGATTGAGACATATACTAATGATATTTGTTATTTTTGTTCAGAGGACAATGAATATAAGTCGTTGCACTATTATATGCTTCGATTATAGGGGATCTTATTCAAAGGAAGGTGATGTCATAAGATGGATATCAAGAGAAGATGAAATTCACACCTTAGTAATGAAGACGTCTGTTGAGGAGGTAACTTATGCTGGGTTGATCAGTGGAATATGCAGGAAGATGAAGATAGATGAAGCTAATACGCAGCTGAAACTCAGTTACTTTCCATTGGTAGTGGATCCTAAGCCATCATATATCTGGAATGATGAGAATGTTTTTGGCTACCTGATGCAAGTGAATAACGATACATGTAGAAGTGCTTTGCACGTGGAGATCATGGAAGATGTCGATCAGGGTGTTGTGCAGCCTTCAAGAGAGGATCGCGAAAGTGTAAATGGTCCAGGTAATGAGCAGGTGTTTTCAAGTGGTATGGATGTTAATGCTGGTATAATTATTCTTCATGGTGGTGAACCATCAGAAGGCCATCAAGCAGAACAAAGAAATATGTCCAGGGAAGAGGTTGATGATATTGAGTATGGACCTGCTATAGAAGAAGTAGCAGTAAATAATGGCTGGGAAGATGGTATTGAAATGATTATAGGTCAAGAATTTAGAAGTAAGAAGACAGTGCAAGATTTAGTTCGTGTAGGCTCACATCAGAATTGTTTTGAGGTTGATACAATCAAGTCTGACAAAAAGCGATACGTGGTGAAATGTCGCGAAGCAAAAAATGGTTGCAAGTGGTCTTTACGAGCTGCAAAGTTGATGGAATCAGATTGTTTCTCGGTAAGAACTTACAACAAGATGCATACATGCTCTCGAACTTCTGCAGTTACAGTTAGGAATAAAAGGAAAGGGACACCGGGTTTGGTTGCATCTGTTGTGCATGAAGATTATCCGGGTAAATTTGACACTCCAACTCCAAAACATCTGATCGATATGGTTCAAGGACAACTTGGGGTAAAAGTATCATACTCTACTGCTTTGAGGGGGAAAAAACAAGCTGCAAATGATGTGCGGGGAAGTCCAGCCGAGAGTTACCAGTTGGTGTATTCCTATATGTACATGCTGGAGTCGATGAATCCTGGTACACAAACTTATGTGGAATTGGACGAAAACAAAAAGTTCAAGTACTTATTCTTTGCGTTAGGAGCTAGCATTGAGGGATTCCAAGCCATGAGAAAAGTCATTGTTGTGGATGGAACCCACCTTAAGACTGGATATGGTGGTGTTTTGTTAGTTGCTACAGCTCAAGATCCTAATCATCACCATTATCCAATTGCGTTTGGTGTAGTTGATGGTGAGAAAGATGCTAGTTGGATGTGGTTTATGAACAGGTTGAAATCAGTGATACCGGATGATCCTGAATTGGTGTTTCTTTCTGATAGAAACTCAAGCCTCATCAAGTCTGTGCAGGCGGTGTTTCCGTTGTCTCAACATGGGTATTGTATTCAACATTTGTCTCAGAATGTAAAAGCGAATGTCTATTACGTCAACAAGGATATATGCGTTCAGAAGTTCAAAGAATGCGCTCATGCGTATACAGAGAGTGAGTTCCTGACACTTTTTGATGCTTTTAGAACCAAGTATCCTTCCGCAGCCCAGTATCTCGATGGTAGTGTTCCTGTGGACAAATAGGCAAGATGCTATTTTCTAGGAAAAAGGTACAACATAGACACCTCCAATATTATAGAATCTATTAATGGTGTTCTTAGGAAAGCAAGGAAGTACGCTCTATTACCAATGATTGATGTGATTGTTGATAAGCTGGCTGAATGGTTTAACAAGCATAGGAACAGTTCTTCTGAAGTATCAAGCACCCAGAAGCTTGTGCCTTATGTGGAGAAAGAACTGCATAAAAGATCACCGGAAGCGAAGAAATTAACGGTGCATGAGTTGAACGCCTTCTTCCTTGAATTCAGTGTCATTGGAAAAGACGGCAAGTGCTATTTGGTTGATATGAAAAGGAAAAGCTGTAGTTGCAAGTGTTTTGATATAGACAGATACCCTTGTGTGCATGCAATAGCTGCTGCGATCTTTATGTGTGGAGGCCGGGAACTTCATCTACAAGAGTTTTGCTCGAAATATTATTGGATGGAGGTATGGAAATTAGCGTACTGCAGGACGATTTATCCAGTACCACACAGGTCTGATTGGATTATTCCTGATCATATACAAAACTTGGTTGTCATACCACCAGATTATGTCGCAAAGGAAGGAAGACCTCAAGAAAACCGGTTCCCATCAGCTGGAGAACACCGAGGAAGAGGGAGAGGGAGAGGAAGAGGAAGGGGAAGAGGAAGAAGAGGGATGTGGTCATATTTCTTTAGTGGTTATAGTGAGGCTGGTGAGGCTGGTGATGCTGTGTAGCTCGTTTGTGTTTATTTTGTGTAATCGGAATACTTGGAACAACTGGTGCAACTGATAGTATCTAAGATAGTTTTTTTTAATGTATTAAAGAGTATGTTTGTTTTTAATTGAATTTCGAACATTCGATATGAAAAAATCTTGTATTAGTTTATTTAGAGTTATATTTTATTTTTAAAATTATTAGAAAAACATACATTCAATATGAAACAATCAAATAAAGAACATTTACACAACAAACACCATACACTTCTATGAACACTTTCTAAATACTAACCACCATATGAAGCCATAGACAGATACGATGAGTTTTAAAACATTTTTAATGCATAAAACCCTTAGGCTTAACAACAGAAGGACTAAAATCATCTGTAAAACTACAAACAGGAAATTTATTGCGGAGTATAACTATATAAAGTTAAAAACACCCAAAAGTACAATTATTTGAAAATAGTATAACTAAAAAACTACGGATTACTAAGTGTAATTTTGGCGGCGTCCACGTAAGCAAAAAACGGCGCACGTGTTATTTTGGTGGGGAGCGGGATATTTTTGGAAATTCAGGACGGGTTTTCCCGGTTTAGGGTAAATTGTAGAAATCGGGATCCTAGGGATTTCTTTCACTTCTCAGATTCGAGTTTCCTCCTCCCTTCTCTCTCTCTTAGGGTTCTAGGGTTCGTTCTTTCTTATCTCTTTAGGTTAGTCGATCTCTCTCTCTCTCTTAAAATGGATTCGGATTGTAGCTATCACTACACGGACAATTTCGTCATCGACCCATACGAGGAGGAGTTGAAGGAAGAGAAGAGGCGCCGCAAGGAAATGGAGAAGATGAAGCAGCATTCGGACATGGTTGGATTCGTCGCCGACGGCCAATATGGGATTCCGAGAAGATGCCCATGTGGTGGATCTATCAAGCACGATGTATCTCCTTCTCCAAAATTTAAACACGATTTCGATACTCAACCAGGCAGTAGGTACTTCACCTGCACCAAATTTAAGGTATAATCTCTATAATTTCAGATCTGGGTTTTTTTCTGGGTAAAACTAGGAATACTAGGTATAACTATAATGGATGTTGCTCATTTTTTTGTTTCTTTGCTAGGATGATGGACTCCACTTTCGTCAGCCATGGGTTTTCAGAGTCGAACAAGAGATTGAGAAGCTAGTTATGAAAGTTGAAGAGCAGAGCAAGACGATTGAAGAAATACGAAAACATATTCAGATCCAAGCCGAAGAGATAGTGAAGCTCAAGACTTAATGAATCTGCAATTTCCTTTAATTGTTGTTTTAATTGTTGTTCAAGACTAACGTTTCCTTGCACTTCAATGTTTTATAACTATTTTTAGTGTTTATATCAAATCAAATCAAATCAAACATTCGAAATCCAAATCAAATAAATTAAAACACCATACCAAATGAAATACGTTTAAATCCAAACATTAAATCCAAACTTTAAATCCTAACAACATAACAACATATCAGCATTCGAGTTTTAGTCCAACTGAAAACCAAAATAGAAAATGTTTTAAGTCCAACTAGACTATTTTTTCCTGCCCCTCTTGGCCTTTTCCTCTGTGTAAGGAGGTCGCACATGCTGGGAACGTTTTATCTTCCTCTTCTGGGGTTTGTCGGCTGCCTCTTTCTCCACTTGGGACTGTGAACCTTTTTTTTTCCTTTGATACACCTGCTTACCCACCGCGGAGGAAGATGTCCCTTCTGTCTGCAAACACAAATAGTTTTACTTAGTGTTACATAGTGTGATATTTCTGTTTTAGGGTATAAGAATTACATAGTTTTACTTACCTCTTTCG